TGCTGTATAATTATTCTAACGTCATATTTTTTATAATTTTATATTTTTTGGTAGTTTATTAACAAATTTATTGTTGTAATTATTTAAATTTATTAATTTTTTTTAACTTAATCTTGCAGATATGTTGTCAAATGATTATTTATTAATATACATATATGTATATATCGTGAATTATACATATAATCTGTTGTATTATTTAACCCTTTTATTCTCTTTCCTGCAATTTTCTTCAGATTTATTTTTTTTCCTTACTAGGATCTAATGATACCTTATATTTCATCAAAGTGTATACGCTACTGAGGACTTCTACGGATAGCTTACTGCGCATGCACTGGGACTGCTCAACACTGCTTATAACAATGTAATAATGAAACAAAAACTTGTGACCATGTATGCGTAAAAGTTAATAAAAATGATCAATTTTAATATTTATAATAATAATTTGTTAAATAAACAATAAAAGAAAAATTAATTTAGGTAAAATATGCCGATATTACAAATCAGGTACGATGACGTCATTTCCCGGTGCTGGTAGATCACGTGACAGCTAATTGGTCCACGGACCAATCTTTGGCGCCATAAGATTATGAACAAATTCAATTATTATTTCTTCCATTTAATTGACGATAATATGCATTAGGTTTTACAAAATTATAAACTTTCGCGAGTATAAAAATTGTTTACAATTGTTCCAAATTCTTGTCTGTTTTGTGCTGTCAAATATTTTCTTTTCTTGATACTTTAGATAGATTCAGCTGTAATGCGCGGTATTTCTACTTGTGACCCAATTTCTGATATCGTGATACAATGATTTATCAATGCATCGCCGATGCATTATGAAAACCCAGGATCACGAAATACAATAATGTAAAATAATTGCAACATGCAATTATAGCAACATGATATATAAATGTTATTGAAGAACAAAAATTCTTTTAGTAGTACAACGTACTAGTAAACATTCTTTTATATTAACAAAACTAAATAATAAAATTACCATGAATTCAAACACCTACGACCGAGTTAGCTTAATTTGGACAGAGAACTTATTATTCCCATGACCACTTATTAATTAATAAAATATTTGCTAAAATTTTGGAAATTAAAAATTTCTTTTTAAATGAAATATTTAACAATTTTTTTAAAAAATTGTGGAAACGGTAGTGAATCATAGTACTGCAAACTTGTATATAATTAAAAGTAACTGAATAATATGTTTTCCTCCGCAATTTCCATAAATATTAACACTATCGGAAATAAATATTTAAAGCGCGAAACTCTCTTCGCTATGATAAAAGCCGCTTAATAAGTTCATCAAATAAAAAAAGTACCAGGAAGAAATATAAAATTCAGACTAATCCTGGAATTAATGTCCGATTTGCATGCATGGGAGGCACGAAATCAATGAGATATCACGATAATCTATACATCATTAAAAGGACCATGATCTTGATAGAACAGTATCGTTAAAAGGAGAATAACTATTGTACACTTTCATTCCAAAACATGATCCAATTAGTTTTAACGAGAGCGTTACTGTTTTTGATAACTGTAGAACTCTTGAAACCTGCTGAATCCGTGAACGGAGTGATATGGGACAAGAAAAGTGGGAATTTCGTGCCCATCTTCAGTATTCCGTCTTTCGGCGAGAGAAAGCAGGAGGTTTTCTTGAAAAGCCGGGAACAGGAGACGCACAACTTCCAAGGGAAAATTGTTCGTTTCTCATATTACGAGGTAAAGAAACAACTTCTTGGTAGACTTTTGTACTGAACTCCACTGATATAGCATTCCTTAGTACCTTGTTCTTGTAGAACTCGCATTTCTGTTTAGAAGTATTCTCGTTTTCAACGTTCAAAATTACATCGACAATGTTTCAAAACTCCTCTCAGAAAAGTCATCTATAAATTAAAATTCTAGGATTTCATCTTTCTCATTTAATATAACATTTATCTTCTCCAATGTTAATAATTACGTGTTTCCTTATTTTATATAAAATTTCAATTTGCAGATCACCAATCTGCTCAACACCGAAGACAACGGGACAAGAGTGAGCGGGGCGTTCGGAGAATTATGGAATATTTTAGCTGATCACTTAAATTTTACGTTAGTGTAATCATATTGTCATATAGAATATATAATGTATAAATTGAATTTAAATATTTCAGGTTGCTGCCGATGATCAATGATGAAATGACAGTGGGAGCGAACGTCAGTGGTCCAATTTATAATGGCTTGTTACGGGTTCTGCAGCTGAACGAAACGGATGTGATACCAAGGGTCGAAGCTTATAGAAGTCGACTTCGTGTTCTTCGGTACACTGTACCGTTTTATAAGACCAAGTCAGTTGAAATTTTTACGATCGTAACCATTATTTGCAGTAAACTTAAAGATAGTAAAATTCACAACCCTTAAGTTTACTGAAATTTGACTCACAACTTAAGTTTATTGGAAGTTTATTCAATTTTATTGAAATTCATTGTTTTTAATGTTTTATTAAAATCTCAGTCTCAGACTTTGTTTATTGAAAAGTAAAACATCAGCATAAGTATGTTAAAACAGATATAATAATACTATCTATAAAATAATAAAATAGATATAATAATTTATGTTATTGTTGGATCAAGATTAAAACGCACAAATGTTCACATATGACTTTTAATACTTCCACTGTCTATACACAAAATGCTTTGAACTTTGAATTAAAAAATTAATTAAATATAGTTCCCGGCTGTACATCAAACGAGAAGTAAAATACGAATCCATGTGGATGTTCAAACTGTTCTCCCCGGGTCTCTGGAACGCGATGCTGTGGATGTACATTGTGCTAAGCGCTTGCAGTTATGTTACCCAAGTTACAGAAATCGCCCTTAGACGTTACAAGCTTTGGGCAAGCGCCAACGATCATTTTCTATACAATTTTGCCATGATTTATTGTGACCAGAGTAAGCAAAATTTTCTTCTACCAATGATACTGATATTACCAATGATAACTTCAAGTAATGATACTTATACAATAAGTTTTCCTATAAAAATGAAATATAGTTTAAGATGTACCCTACTTAAAGTATAGTAATATTCAATAATAGAAATGTTTATAAAAGTGACAAAAACTTGACAGTAATTTAATAAAATATATTATCGTTGCAGCCTATCTTCCGGAAAGCTACTCCCTAAGTTCAAATATGGTGGAACTGTCTTTGGGTATTTTTACCTTATTACTTAGAACAGCGTTTGGTGCACTCGTGTTTGAGTACTTATCGCAAGTTACCACTACACCACCTTTTGATGACATAGCTTCGTTACTTGATAGTACTTCATACAAGATTGTTATATTGTTGGGTTCTTTGCAACATCTCCTGGTAAAGGTAAATCACAACCATCCTACTACAGAACGGAACACTCTTTAATCAACACAATCTTGAAAGTCTTCCAAAGTCTTTCAAATCTTCTTCACCAATATTAACACTAACTTTACAAAATCCCTCAAAATGACGATTCATTTGATTCCTAATTTCAGAGAAAAGCGGAGCCCATTTATACAAGAGTCAACAAAATGAATAGATATGTATATGTAGACACAATGCAAGAATTATACGACACAGTCTGTATACCAGAGATGCACTACACAATTTTTCAAAGCGAGGACATGAAGAAAGCTTCTGGTCTGTTTGTTTGCCGATTGAATCCAGTGGGAGGACCTTTAGTGGAGTCGATAATAACTTCCGGAGTTGCTCTGTATTTCGAGTACAGGAGAACTATAGACGTCACGTAAATTATTTGTTATTCAAAATATTATAATATTCTCTAATTCATTTACAATGTTCATTTACAATGTTCTTTTATCACACAGGATTATAAAGCTACACGAATCTGGCATCGTAAACCTAATGAAAGAGCGCTGGATAGAATCAAAAAACGTAGAAGCAGAAGACGAAGGTGGAGCAGAGCCCATCAACATGGTGGAAGTGTATTTAGTGCTATGTGTACTCGCCGCTGGATGGATAGCAGCTTTCGTGGTCCTCATATTTGAGAAGTTAATATTTCGCTACTATAATAAGAGCGAAACGACTAGTCTTCGATGGAATAGATCCACGGTCAAGAGTGTGCGTCAAGATCATAAGTTCTCGTTAAAAAACATAATTAAACAGGGTAAGAAGAAGAGGAAGCTGATCCGAGAACGTGGTACGCGAAGATCCGGCACGCTTAGAAGATGGTGCCGTAAGATTGGGTTGATTAAGAATGCCTCTATAAGATCTGATAACTCTAAACGGAAATTTTAACTTGGTCGTGACTTTATGTTGTAATATTGTAATATTAATTAACTTAGAACTAGTAGTTAACTAGTACTTTAACTTAGCACCACTGAAGTTAAGGTCTGATGTCTGTAAGGATGAAGTAATATTATCTTTAGACTAAACTGTCTATTGGATATTCTGTTGGTATTTCTACTGTTTTAGTACTCTTGTTCAATCTGAGGAGAGTAATGGTTGCGAGAATTTTATGGCCAGCCATTTTGTAGTACGCTCGGTACGTTGCAGAATATGTGAAACGTACAATATTAGTTTTATGGTATTTATAATATTTTAATGTTCTTTTAGGTGCAATTGTATCACTATAATTATTACCGATAAGACTTCTACATATTTAGGTATATGGTGTCGCTTTTTAAAATGTATTTTCATCAATACAAATATTAATATATTTACAACAATATAATACAGTTTTGAGCATTTGTAGCACACAAAGCATTTAATTCTCTAAGAGATCTGTATATATCTGATAACCTGGATATATTGTAAAACTGACAACTTGTCTTGCGACTAAGCACGTTGCTTTTTTAATGTACATAATTCTCTAATATTGCAAGTAGCTATGAGATACATGAACTATGAAGCAAATGAATCATTGTAGAAGGACAAGTGTATTATAATACAGTGTACAATATAAAATTAAAACAAACCGAAGAACGTTTCCGTGTAACTTCGATAAAATATCTATGGCAATATTTATAGTACAGAAAACAAATAATTGAGAACTGAAACCCTCTTGAAATCGAATATCGCTGTATGTAACTATCTTAATCGCATCGAATGAATCGGGCACCAGGAAGAAATATAAAATGCATTCTAATTATAGAATTAATGTCCGATTCGCATGCATAGGAAGCATGAAAACATGAGATATTACGATAATCCACACATCGTTATAAGGACTGTGAATCTTGATAACGCATCGTTAAGAGGAGAATAAACACTGTTGCACTCAGTTTTGCTGTAAAACGATATCGTCCAGACCAGCTTTAATGAGAGGGTTACTAATGTTTTTGATAACTCTAGAACTCTTGAAAACTGCTGAATCCGTGAAGGGAGTGATGTGGAACAAGAAAAGTGGGAATTTTGTGCCCATCTTCGGTATTCCGTCTTTCGGCGAGAGGAAGCAGGAGGTTTTCTTGAAAAGCCGAGAACAGGAGACGCACAACTTCCAAGGGAAAATTGTTCGTTTCTCATATTACGAGGTAAAGAAATAATTTCTTGGTAGACTTTTTAACAATTAAGACTGTGCTGAACTCCACTGATATAACATTGTTTAATACCTTGTTTCTTGTAGAACTCGCATTTCTGTTTAGAAATATTCTCGTTTTCAACGTTCAAAATTGCATCGACAATGTTTCAAAACTCTTCCCAAAAAAGTTATCTATAAATTAAAATTCTAGGACAAACATTTATTCTCTCCAATGTTAATAATTGCTAGTTTGCTTATTTTTCATAAAATTTTAATTTGCAGATGACCAATCTGGTCAACACCGAAGAAAACGGAACAAAAGTGAGTGGCGCGATTGGTGAATTGTGGAGTATTTTAGCTGATCACTTAAATTTTACGTTAGTATAATCATATTGTTATGTAGAATATATAATGTGTAAACTGAATTTGAACGTATTAGGTTGAAGCCAATTCTCACGGAAGAACGGAGATTGGAAATATACCTCACTAAAGATGATGATGGTGATTTGTTACAAGTTACTCAGATTAATAATACGGATGTAATACCGAGGGTAGAAGCTTATGGACGATCTCGTGCTGTTAGGCTTACTATGCCATTATGGGTAACAAAGTTAGTTGAAATATTTTCAGAAAGCAGAATTATTATTTATAATTATATTAAAGAAGTATGAAAACAGTTCACATTAATAATAGAGACAGTTTGTCTGAGATGTTATGACTTATTAAAAAGTATGGTACCAGCACAAGTATATTAATAATTACATTAGTAATTCTTATGTTTGACTGATGTTATTGTATATAATTATATTTGCATAATTATTACTTTTAATAATTTCCATGGTTAAATGCATACAATTTTTTCTTGTGGTATTTTAATTTTTTTCTGTGGTATTTTATACTATTTTAGTTGTTATATAATATTTAACTTATACACAATAGTATACTACACATTTATACTTCATATTTTATAAGTAATGATCCATTATGAATATGTGACTTACAAATGATTTACAAATAATTAATTGAAAGAAAAATAGTCTTATCAATAATCACTACCAGATTAATTATTATTAAACTACTCAGAAGTTTTGTTTCATGTTGAGAAAGATGAAGAAGAAATATTATAACTTCACAAATATTTAATCTGAAATTAAAATACAGGTCCAAGTTGTACATCCAGCGAGAAGACAAATACGACTCTCTTTGGATGTTGAAATTATTCTCCCTGGATCTCTGGCACGCGATTCTGTGGATGTATTTTCTGATAAGCGCGTGTAGCTACGTTTCCGAAACCGTAGGAACAATCCTTACTCACCAGAAGTACGAGGCAGACTTGAGCGATCATCTTTTCTACAATTTTGGAATGATTTATTGCGACCAAAGTAAGAAGAACTAATACATTGACGTTGCTAAGATCTTCAAGATTTGATATTCATATGCTAGGTTTTTCCATAAAAATGAATAATTGTGCGATAGTTTAAAATTTGCCATGTTTACCTCTTTGCACTCGAAGCTTATATTCATTCATACCACCAATAACTCGTAGGAGCTTCAAGAAAAAGTTTCATAGGAGTTTCATAGAAAAATTGTATTCACATATGAGTAAGTGATTTGTGCATTAAAAGAAAAGTTATTGTCTTTATGTTATGAACTGAAAATTATTTGTAATGTCTCTATAGCGGAGTTCTCAAGTTTGAAGACAAATCTTAAATGGCTCCTAAGCCCTCGAGTTTGAAGACAAATTTTAAATGACTCCGAAGCTCTCGAGTACAAAATGTTAAATTATATGTAGTAATGTCTCATTAAAATTCTTGTGAAACTACTTCAGAATATTTTAAAAATACTTGACTTTCAGAAATTACGTTAACATTGCAGGCTACCTTCCAGACAGTTCCTCCATAAGCTCCTGCATAGTGGAACTGTGTTTAGGTATATTTTCCCTGTTAATTAGAACTGCATTCGGAGCATTCGTGTTCGAGTACTTATCACAAATTACTGCTTCACCACCTTTTGACGATGTAGACACACTATTGGAGAGAACTGCGTACAACGTTGTTGCGGTATCGGGTTCTGTTCATGAACAAGTATTAAAGGTAACAAAACTACAAAATAAATTGTCTATCATGTTACACTTGTTCGGTCAAATAAGCTTTCTTCTTTAATACTGAATATTTCAATATATTATTGAACAATTCAATATTGAATATGTCCCTTTCTAAAATTCCAAATGTGCAAATTCCACCTGATTTTAGAGAAAGGTATGATTTTGTATTTAGAGAAATCCAATTTTTGGAAAAGTGTATGACATGAACCGATATGTTATTGTACCAACGATAGAAGATTTATACACAACGGGATGTTCAACGCGCAAGAAATACGCTATATTGCAAGCTGAAGACAGAAAGAAAGCAGCTGGATTGTTCATCTGTCCTCTGACTCCTGTGGGACCACACGTATTCGAGTCGTGGATAACTTCTGGAGTTGCACGGAATTTCGAGTACTGGAAGACTGTAGATCTGATGTAAATAATTTGTGACATAAAATATGACAATAATTCTTCTACAGATAATTATAACATACAATTTTTTGCAGAATATTAAAGCTACATGAAGGTGGAATCATAAAGCTGTTGAGAGAACGCTGGATAGAATCAAAGAACGTGGAAGAGAAGTTCGAACCTGGGGTAGAGCCGATCAACATGACGGAAGTGTATTTAGTTCTAATTGTATTTGGCATTGGATGGTTAATAACGCTTCTGGTATTTATGCTGGAAAATATGATATATATCTATTTTAACGAGCAGACTGATATTTCATCGTTGGAGAAGTCAAAAGTCAAGCCGACCAGAAGGAGGACGAAGAGGATAGGATTGTTTAATCAGAGGTCCAATACCTTCAGAGGATACTGATAAGTTTGACTGTTTTATAATATCTGATTGCTTTAAGTGTTTAAGGATTGACTGTTTTATAATATCTGATTGCTTTAAGTGTTTAAGGATTGACTGTTTTGCAATATCTAATTGCTCTAAGGATAATGCATCTAAGATTGAATACTTCCTAAGATGAAGTCATTCTGGATTATTGTTCTTTGACTGAACCTGTATTTTTCTGGTTTTTATAAAATATTATTTATGTCCAAAAAATGTAACTTCTTGCTTATAAAAACTATCTACAATTGTAATAACACTTGTATTTATATTTTGTTATATAAGTCCTCAAATAGATCCTCTTTACAAAGAAAAAGCAGCAGATTATAAAATATCATATTTGTTATTACTATTCTCAAACAATAAATTTCATGTTGTAGAATATAAGTAACGTAAACCTTGAATTCTGTGATACAACATCAGTGTATCGACAATTATAAAAGCACGATATCACAAACTATAATATAATGTAGCATAATTGCAACATGCAGTAAGTAATTAAAGTGAACCTAATAACGTATAATTTCAATAATTATGTACACTATTAGAAATAAATATCTGAAGACTAAAACCTTTTGCAATCGATATAAAAAATTACTCGTTAATTACTTTCATAGAATGAACACAAGGAAGAGATATTAAATACAGATTGGTTCTGCAATAATGACATGCATTAGATATAATAATTCATGTATCGTTATAAGGTACATATCGGTGATCCTGATAAAATATCATCAAAACGAAAATAAACTCTAACATACACTTCTCTTTAATCCAAGTAGTCCAAGTGGTTAATTGCTTTTATGATCTTTGTGCTTGAAAATTTGATATTTCACTACTACAGTTGTGACAAGACTTCTATACGTTCGGGCATTATCACTACTTCGTCAAAATATTTTAGTTGCGTATTAATAAGAACACTCAATGTTAAACAATTAGTTTATTATACATTGAGTTATTAGAGCTTAGCGTCCAAACTTTCAGGAGGTACTGTTTGAGCAACTGATTCAACAGCAGTTGGTGGATCTTCTGGCTTTTCTTTTGACATAATATAAGTCTTTGTTGATGGTTGTTCTGGTGTCATCCATTTTGGTATAATCTTGGCATGTATCCTCCATTTACCATACACATTAGATAAATGTTTCTCAAATACTACATAATCTAGAACATCTTTTTTCACTGTCTCACTACCCATCAACACTCTTCCAAATCTGTCATAAATGCACAATATCTGAAAAATAATTTTTTATGTAATGACACAAACACAATAAATATATTGTGAGGGCAATGAAATTTATTTTCAAACCTGTTGTGTATGAAAGCGAACAGTTACTTGGCCAAATTCGTTCTCTTTTGATATAAGACTTGTGTTTCTTGCATGCACAATACGTGGTGGCTCCAAGGATTCTAAGAACTTCCATACAATTGTTTTATCCATCGTGTTATGTGTCATCATCTAAAATTGATTATTTGTTAGCACATTCATGTAGCAGAATATGAAATAATGATAGTAAATTAAAAAATATGGAACCTACAGGATATGCATGTTCAGTTACATATTGTAGCAATTCATCTTCATCTTTACTGAAAACAGAATTAAGTTTAATTTAATTAATTAGCAATAATATTGCAGAGTAAATGTAATAAGTAATGTTGCAAATTAACAGTTTGGTATAGAAAAAAGTAATGTAGAACAAATATGCCTTACTTAGCTAAAGCTTCATGAGCTTTTTTGTAAATCTCAAAAGCTTCCTCTCCGAATGTCTTTGTTGAAAAATTATCATCATATGATCTAATTTTTCTGATAGATAGATAAGATTTACTCTTTTTCTCTATAAGTTCAACCTTTTGTTTTGCACCCTAAATATTCAACATAAAAGTAATAAGTGTATATAATAACAATCATAGAAATGTAATGTTTACTAATATCAACAAAATAAAGACAAAATATATTATGTACCGAAGTGGTAATAGCAGAAAATTTTCCATCACCTTCTGGAACAATGTATGATTCAAATATTTGAGTCGTACTGCTAATAAGAAGAGGTCTTTCATTCCATTCTTTGTTTGGCAAAATTCCTGCTTTTTTCATGTAAGTTCGTTCTGCATCTCTGGTCAAGTTTCCATCCTTATCATACTTCGGCAGTTCAATTTTAATAAATTTTTGAGCCCTCTCTTTACGAAACTTCTGATTATAATGTTTTTTTATACCTCTACATTGTACAGTAGTATTGTAAAGTGGAAAATTAATAGGAGCTAATGCCAGAGGTAAATTATTCTGAAAAACATTAAAATGTTAAGTGTTTTATAAATGTACCAGAAATACAGTATTAAAAATTATGAAATATAATGTGATACATTACCTGTGCATATCTTCCAAAAATACAAACAGCACATTTATACTTTAACATCATCTTTATTACCGTTACAAAACTTACAAAATATTAAATTGATAAATACAATACAACATTTAGATGTTGTTGAATTAAATTCATACAAGTTAATATCTATATAATTTCTAAACTTGTTTCTGTTGGTTTTCCTCGCTGAATAAAGACAACATTAAGTTCTGTATTATCGGCACTTGAACAACTTCGCCATCTATGATATAAGACGAGAACGACGTATTGATATCACGTGAATATTCCTTAAAATGCTTAAAATTCGTAAATACATCTAATCGTAAGTTTATTGTATTTAAATATTCATTTTATTTGCTTTGTACAACTAATTTCGAAAATTTCATTTGATTCATTTTACAGGGAAAAGAAGAATTTGATCGTACCTACTCTTTGAAAAAGCATCCTTCATATAACACGTAATAACATTTTTATTGTACAACTACTGTGAAGCAAAAGTACAATATATAAGTATATGTATTTACATATATAAGAAGTATACATTAATTTGACAGCTTAACAGATTTAGTTCAAACATTTTTAACATAGTTAAAACTCAATAAATATTAATGTGCTGTATATTGTGCTTTATTGCTGTTCAATATTCTGAAAATAATAATATAGTTATTTAAATAAAACCATTTTTAGAATTTTAGGAAGATATCTAACATTCTCATTAAGAATAAAAAGTTCATCTAATTAAAAAATGTCATCGTCTTTCAATGAAGATGTGGAAAGTGAAGAAAATGATGAAGACATTTTTAAAGAACTTTATGGTGTTCGAGATGGTGTACTTTTTATAATTGATGCAACACCTCCAATGTTTGAAAATGATCCACATGAAGGAATTCCATACTTTTTACAATGTATTAGGGTACTGAAATTTGTTATCGATTTGTATTATTTTATGCTTTTAACTTTGCATTAAATATATTTTATTATTTAATATTTAATTTAGCAATATAAAGAAGTTCTCAAGCAAAAATTAAGTTGGAGTAGACAAGATTGGATGGGTTTACTTTTATTTGGCACTGAGGAATCAGACACGGATTCAGAAACAAAACATGTTAAAACCTTACAGAAATTTAATCTTGTCTCAGTGGATGATCTTAACAAAATAATTGAAATAGGTAAGTATTTAATACTGTAAATTGTAAAATAATTTTGAACTAAGTTTTTATAATGATAAGGATTTTACATTGAGTTAACACGGAAGAAAATTTTATTAAAATTTTGTACATAGATGAAGGAGGAAAATGGAAACACTATAAAAATATTGCTTCTACTACGGCTTATCCCTTACATGATGTTCTGTGGGATGCAGCTCGAATATTTACAACTGTCACTATCACTATGCCAATACGCAAAGTAATTCTTTTTACCTGTCAGGATGATCCACCAATGACGAATAGTAATGAAAAACACAGAATAAGACTAAAAGTACAAAGTTACAATGACATAGAACTGCAATTGTTCGTTGTTGGTTTGGGTGAAAAATGGAATCATGATATATTTTATAAAGATTTAGAAATGTTATCTGAAAAAATAGATCCTGATGATTATGAAAGAATGTCCTTGAAAGACATAGTACAGCAAATTAAATTACCATCTAGAAATATGGCAAAGCTTCCTTGGAGAATTGGAGAAAATGTGAATGTAGACATATCTCTTTGCAACCTTTGCGTGTAAGAAACAAAATTTTATTTATATCTGCAACATGGTTTTGCATAAATTAAATGCAGTTAGAAATGTACTAAATTTAAAACAAAAATTCATTTCAGTAAAACAGAATATTTGAAAAAGAAGAATATAAGTAAAGCAACAAGTACTCCTTTAACTTCATACACATATTTACAAATAGCCAACGAAAATAATGATAAGGTGTGCATTTTGTTATGACATATCTTTTTTATACTACATTTTCTAATAATTTGTTGTATCTCAATGTTGCAGGAGGAAGCAAAAGACGATGAAGATGAGCAAAAAATATCTCCTGTTTTAGAAATGGATATTCAAAAGTATCAAACATTTGGTGGTGAAAACATATATTTTAAATTAGCGGAGGTGAGATCTTTATGCGCAGTGCGTGAGCCAGGCATTGATTTAATTTGCATAAAACCTATTTCTTATCATCCATTGTATCATTTTGGAACTCCAGTTTTTGTTGTACCTGCTAAAACTAATAATAAGGGTAATGCTAGTTGCAAATTCGATGAACTGCAAATGTTTGTATACAAATAACATTGCATAAATTTTTTTTATTTTAGATCAAAAATTATTATTTGGAGCATTACTTAGTAAATGTGATTCAAGAGACTTAATGATAATATGTGCTGTTACAATTCGAAGACATTCTTCAACAATTTTATATACTATGATACCACATGCAAGAAACGGAGGATTTTATTTATATAAAATACCATTTAAAGGTTTTACTTTATATATTTTAATATATATGTTTGGATTACTCATAAATTTCTTGTGATAAAAATGAAAAGAACAATTCCCATTTTTTAAGCAAGATATTATTTTATGTTCTCAGAAAATGTTCGAAAATTGAATGATCACTTAATGGAGTACATATACGATGATAGCAAAAATGTACCTCCAACTGATGCAAATGGAATTGGATTACTAGAAAAAATGATAAATAAATTAAGTGTTGATTATAATCCAAATATGTTTTTCAATCCTAAACTTCAAGTCCAACTTCAGACAATAGAAACATTAGCCTTAGGGTTAGAGCAAAGGGATCCACCACCTGATACTACAGGTATATGAATAACATTTTAAATATCTTAGTAAAAACTTAGTATTAATATAATTAAAGTTTTATTTCAGTTCCTAATACTGAAGAAATGCGTAAAAAGGTAAAAGATTTGTTGGAAGAATATGATGAAATATTTAGTGAGGACACGAATAGTACAGTTGTTGAATCGCCTAAAAAAAGAGTGAAAAAAGCCACAGAAAACACTGACTTAGACAATCCAGATGAAATAAAGAAACTTGTGAAGGATGGGCAGGTAATAATATAAATAATTATTTAAACATCGACAATTAAAATTTAGAATAAAAATATTAGTTAAAAATTTATTCACTTTCACAGATACAAAAATTGACTATGCCACAGTTAAAAGGAGTTTTACAAAATCTGTGTTTGAAAACAACTGGTAAAAAAGATGAATTAATAAAAAGAATCAAGGAATACTTTAAATAAGGTGTTAAAAGATTTTTCACAAGAAGTAATTTAATTATCAATCATGTTTCTTATATAGAGTTTTTTATATTTATATCAAATTTTATATTATCTGATCTTTACAAAATGAGTGAATCATGTAATCAATTGTGTGCATATATTTTTAAAATGTGCGATTTATCTTAAAGCAAGTATTTTTTATAAACTTGTAAATAATTATTTATAATTCATCTTTTTGAGGTGTAGCTTTTATATCTTTTATACTTCCAATAAAGAGTGGTATGTTATTTTGTTTATGTTCAATTATGAACATAAAAGGTCGATCGACAAAGAATTCTTCCGGCATGTCAATCATTCGGCGAACTCTCATATTAATAACTGAAATAAAACAATGATGTTACGGAAAGTGTAATTTCATTATGTTTACCTTTAACACACCTGTTGCGGCTGCAGCTTCAGTACCTGCTTCGTTAACTTCTATTATAGCTTTATGCAAAATTTTGCTAACTTTCAATGGTCTCTTTGAAATGCGATTAAAATTTGCATCATCTTCAAACAGTTTATTCATGCGCAGCTAAAATTCAGCAATGTAAGTGACGCGTGGTTTCTTCGAATATTTAGTACATGAAGTATTATTCATACCGCGCGTAAAGTATTTTCCAAGTCTACTGTAAATTCTATTTTAAACTTCGGAAGATATAATTCGACATCGTTATTGGAACGAGATGCATTTTTAAGTATTTCCCACGAAAAATTACTTTGTAAATTTGTAAGGCCATCAACTTCATCAGGTAATACTATTGTCATTACGATGTTCGTATTCTGTAAGATATAGTGTAAATTTCTGATATGCAACACTAAATATGTGAACGTACCATGTACGGAATTTCGATAAACTTTGCATGCAATGTTGGTATTTTACCATAATTATACTTGGATTTATTGAACATTGTTGGTATAAATTTTTTTTGGTCTTTTGCAACATAAAATACTCTATTCTGTGTATTTTGTTTATCAAATTTATGTAACCAATTACCATTAAAATAAATTGCATTGATCATTATCAATTTCATGTCATCATCAATACTATCTATATTAAAAAAAGATTATTTCTATTACATTAATATATAAGTTTTCTTGTAATGTTAAAAGAATTTACCCTCAGATATAAGATTGGATATTTTATTATTTGTTTTTGTTTTTATCCATTGATTGATTTCATTAGTTGCATCTGCTTTGCTTTCAAAATCCATTGTTAAAACCTCAGATTGATACGCTTCTGTTGCTACCATTGAAAATTCTGGTAGTAATTCAAATCCATCTTGCACACATATTGCATTTGCAATATATAGTTTAATGGCTGTCAGCTCCTTATAAGTATGTAAATTATTGACCATATCACATTTATTTTTGTTTATCACATTATTAATATCCTTACATTTAATTGTGCTATTAAAGATTTATATGCATCTTGTATTAAATCTTTGTAATGGTAACGGATACCATGCAACATTTCATCAAGAGTTTCACCTCCTGCCCCATGAGAAAGTAAAGATAATATCATATGTATACTTAATGGTGAGCTTACAATATTTTCAGTAGTAGTAGCAGATAATTCCTAAAACGGGTTAATTGAAGTTTGAATAAACTCATGATACTTTATGTTACATTACAATATAATTTATATACATCTTATTTCATCGAATCTTATAGTATTTTTACTCACTTTATAAAAATCTTTTGTGAAGTCGTTGCAAGAAACAGAGAGACTTTGGCATGCATGATTTTTACAAGTCGAAGACATTATAGATGTTTGTGCCGTTATAATTGCAATATATATACTTAAAACTATGGAACATAATTATTGTAATTAATATATTAAATTATTTTGAAGATTAATGATTATAATGCAAGAAACATATTTTATGATAGTTAATAAATAAATAACAAACCACTACCTGTATATAACGTAAATAATCCCATTAATACTATAAAATGTTAATACTGTCAAAAGAATGTATTATTCTGTATAATTAATGACAACAGTACTTGTTACCAGAATTAAATAGTTTATAAACCATTCGAGTATAACTTGTCAAAACTGTCAATTAAGTTCTTGTAATAATTAAAAATTTTTAATATTGAACAATTTTTAAGACGTTAAAGTGCAAGCAGTGTCATTAAAAAGACGAACAAGTGTAACTGTCAAACACTATCAGGGTCGTGTTTATCACTAGACAGAATGGGCACACGTCTAGGGTTCACTATTGTTTTTTTATTTTCATTTTATACTCTCTGTAATTTAAAGATAAAGTAATATGAATTAATTCTGTTTCGAAACTGTAGTTGTTTGAAAAATATCATGATTCTTATTTTTGTAAGGAGGTTCTTGATTTTGTTTTGTGTGAGTGGGGTATGAAAAATATTTGATGCGCTCCTGTGAATACCTCCTCCGCTTTCATGCTACTCTATTACAGTATTTTTAGTTCAAAATAATCATCGTTAGATGGCGCGGTTTCGATTTTAAAACGAGATACAAAAATGTGATATTAAAGTCAAGTAAGAACAGTACTTAAATTATTAGCATAGTTTTGTATCAAAGACATTAATTTAACAAATTGGCAGTATTTTAAAACAAAGTAGGCATAAATGTAATCTCATTCTAAATATTTCGAGTTAATCAATTTTTAATTTTAGAAAATTATTTTTTATAATAAGAAAACTTTCAAAGCTGGCTTTATTACAGTATACTCAAAAATATAAAATTATTAATAAAAGCATAATAACTTGCAATTTTCATTTGCGTTTGCAAATTTGTAGACTGTAAAAGATTGTAGAAACTTTTTGTAATTCGAAGAAGAATATTAAATAATTTGAACAGTACTGTTGCGAACTTGAATTTTCAATAAAACTGTACAAGAACGCAATTTGGGGGCAGTACATTCTCGCCCATTCAATGAATAATGAATGACATTCTTGGGGCGAATGACACAGTCAAGAATTCCAGTGTGGAACACCTTATATCGTTCCACGATTCACGCTTTTACCGTTTCCCTCCTTTTTCTCTTTTCTTCTATCCCCCACTTGTCATTTATTTTTCATCCATGCCCACATAAATTTTCCTGCGCCTTTTCATTAGAACTCATATTTATTTCCATTTTCTTCTTTTCTTCATTAACGTGTGCCAAATACAATTGTTCCTTAATTATTTATTTAATTAAATATCCTTTTACTCTCTTCTTTCATCGTTTCTCTCTCCTTTCTTCCTTGCATCTATCTGCAAACAAAAAGAAACAATTATCATCTCATCTCGTTACTCTCGTTTTCTACTTCTTCTATTTATACTGTTCTTCATCTTCACGACCATTAATAACGGCTCTCACCTGTTCTCTCTTCCTCTCTCTGTTTCTCCTTTTTACTTTCTCTTTCAATTTTTCATCTCGTCATCGGCCTTCTTTCCTTCAATTTCTTCTTTCCATCTCCGCCTTCTATCTTCTTCTCTTCTACTCTCCCTCGATTTCCTCTTTGCCACCTCCTCGGAGTGTCTACACGAAAAATGTGTTCGTCAGTCGCAGCACACATCCTGATTACTAATTCACGAAGCGGACTACTTCCTTGGCGCGTTGTGACACCAAATCCCATATTCCAATCGAATGGAGAGTCGAGACGGACACGCTGATCCTTACGGACTCGCGGATCGCATAAAATGTTGGCTGAATGCGCGGACACGAGACAGAAATTGGAACGACAATAAACGAACATTACTTCGATTGATATCCTATGTTATTTGACACGCTTCGCTGTTTCGTTTACGTCATTTATCAGGAGGAACATTCCTTCCATCATCGCCATTTTACCCTCTTTTGCTATGAAAGAGTTCTTGCAATTTTTCTCTGAAGATCTTTCTAACTGAAATTGGAAGGAATAATGTTAGTTCTTTAGGAATAATGTTACTTTCTTTAGCAAGGAGTGGTACTTGAAATTTGTGCCTAGGAAAAATTTTGTTACTTGAGATTTCTGAGGAAAGATTCTGCTACTTGAAACTTTTGCTGGGAAGAGATCCATAAATTGCGATTTTCTTTATAAAAGGATACATGACTCCTAGTTTTCGCGAGGAGACCATAGCTTACAATTTTTCCTAAAGGGAGTGTTATTTCTTATCATTCTTTGGTAAGATTTCATCTTACTACTTCTTCAAATCTGAATATTTTTTCCTGAGGAAGGTTTCACTTTTCACAATTTTGCCTAGGAAGAATTACAGTGTTTGAAACTTTTTCTGAGGAAGGTCTCACTATTTAAAATTTACCTAACCAAGTCCTAATTGCTTTCAAATTCCCCTAAGGAAGATTTGAACATTCACACATTTCTTTAAGACAAAATGAATTCTGAAGAGACAGAAATGTTCTCTAGGAGAGATTAAATTATTTTCTGTAGGAGAGATTTAATTATTTAAAAATCACTCTAGAAATAATCTAGTTACGCAGAAATTTCCCCAGGAAAAGTTTAAGCATTTACAAGTTTCACTACTTAATTACTTAAAATTATGATTATGTACAATTATATATCAATTTATAATTATTTATAATTTCCCTAGGAAATGTTTAATCACTCACTAAATTCAAAAGATTCTACTACTTACAATTTCATTTTGATAACTCACAAATATTTTTAACACACACATTTTTTTGTGAAATAGTGACTAACAAAATGAATATTAATTAATGGCAAACTCAATTGATTATTACTTAAAGCCACATAAAGTTAACATTGTTGGTTCAAACTAAATTAATTAAGTAAATATCACAAACATTATTTGGAAAAAAGGAAGATGAACATTACTAGTACATTGAAAAATACTTTCCTAATAATGATGTTTCTTATAATAATGATTGTAATCCTATTTCATTCTATTTCTAGAGTAGCACAAAATTTGTATTAAAATTTTTTAATTTCAATATTTACTTTTTTACATTAATTCATAATGTCTCAGACCTAAAGAACTATTATAACATTTTTATATTAACTTACAAATTATAACAATTTTCCTATACAAGCTCCATACTATCATTGTTTAGTTACAAAATTATTCAACTTTTGAGCATCTTACAAATTCGCATTTTATATTCACATGTTATTGAAGCAATTCAACGCCCTGCATTGTCATTTCTCTTCAAAAGCTTTGTAACTTTCCCACAGTTGCATTCAGGTCACACATCAAAATAAAATATTAAAATTACTAGTTAAAACTTATAAACAATCTATCAAGTATTATTTTAGAGTCGCCACTATCAAACGTCAGTTCTGATGATAAAACGCAAACGAGTTTTTCGAAGAGCCTAGCAAATTTAATCGAAAGTACGCAAAGATATGTAAACGGAGAACGGTACGATGTCAGGTGAACGAAAATCCGGAATTCTGTTTGAGGACAAGGAGCGAAAGCAACGCCTGATTGCTGGAGCGATCATCTAACTGTAAATACCAGGCAGCTTCCTCTTCGCTTTAACTATAATAGATCATATCCCTCGCATCCGTTGTATCAAATGCTTCTAGCTATCGCATTTTTCTGAGATACATTTCAGTCTTCCACTTTTTTATTATTCTGCGATGTGAGCTTTGACGTAGTCGTCGAATTAGACTGTCAGAGTGGAGCATCTTTTGAGAATTAATTGCGAGAAAATGAAAGCAAGTCCAAACTTCCTCTGTAGAGTGGTTGCTGCACGATGCTAATAGCGGCACTTGACGCATCAAATCATTCGTTGCTCTGAAAAAAATATTTCAATTTAAACTGTGTTTATTTATTGTAAATAAAATTCATTTGTTATAAATGATATTTTTTTTTAATTACTCTTCATTTGTTTGGTGTAAGTAAATATATAAATTGATTTTTTGAAGTGAAGACAGGATATTTACATCTTTGATTGTTGTTAAAACTTGCAGAATTTTTAACAACTTTGCTACAATATATTTATAAGTTAACTGCACTTCAACTGCAATATTTATAAATTAGGAAAATTGTTATATAGTCGTGAAGATTAAAAATGTTCAAATATTAACTAATGAGATCCAAAAGATTATAAACAAAAGAACTTAAAAATTAAATACTGAGAAAGACAAAAAATACATTAAGAAAGACTATTAAATTAGATATTACATCACATTAAAAAAGACTAACAAATTAGACAATACATTACATTAAAAAAGACTATCAAATTAGACAATACATTACATTAAAAAAGACTAACAAATTAGACATCACATTACATTAAAAACAACTAACAAATTAGACATTACATTACATTTAGACTTATCCTTGTATTTAAGAATTACAACTAGACAAAAAATTAAATGTTAACAAGAAGTGATAACTCAAAAATGTAAAAAGACTTCACAACTAAATGTTAAGAAAATAAAAAAGAACATTGACAAAATTGTACAACAAAGATTAATTGTTACATAAAAAAATCTGTAAATTAAATAAATAATTCTAAAAAATTACTCCTTGAAGAAATAAAAAGAATTCAGCACAAAAAGAAGAAATATTTCAAAAATAGTACCACTAAAAATTGAACCACTAAACCCATAAATAAATAAATAATTCTCAAAAAATGTTCCTTAAAAAAGTACAAAAAATTCAGCGCGAAAAGAAGAAATATTAAAAAATTGTATAACGAAGGTCATCGAAGAAAGATATAGTCCTGGTGAAAATTGGGCTACTATAAACTAATAAATTCTAAGAAACATTCTAATGGGGCGTCTAATTAATCGTGAGGGGTCCAAGTGTCGTAAATTGTGGTGGAACGCTCGTCCCGAAGAAAGGAAGAAAACGCAATGAGCCACGTGGAGAGCACGAAAAAGGTGTAGTACACGATCAGGAAAGAGGACGACGAACGAGAACGAGGAAGGTGGAGGTAAGTCGGTATAAAAGGGTCGTAGCGAGGCGCCTCGTCTGTTTTAACACTCTCATCGGTTAGCTTGGTGGATCCGACGCGTGGATCGAACGTCCCGATCATCCTAGATCACGGGTCACTCGTGCTCCCTGCTCCGAAACAGGACATTCGTCGATAGAAAAATACGATAGACAAGAGGTGAGTCGAAGGAGAACGTGTATCCTGTTATTGTGACAAACCCCATTCGTGGATATCTTGGTGAACAACGAAGAGTTCGCTCTACTTTTCTGATTATCGAATTTTCCGTGGATCGATGGTTCTTCGAAAGGTGTAGCGGACACCAAGTGATAATGTGGACACTCGGGTGCTACGTAGACTTCCTTCGGATGACGAGTGGAGGGACAGCAGTTTCGGGTTTTGACATTGATAATGTAACCCTGACAATTTGTTAGTTAAAAAATTTCGAAATTTCAATATTCTTAAATCCTACTAAATTATTTCTGAAGTCCTGCACCCTTAGATCATTTAAATTATTAAATTGATAAATCCTCAAATTTTGTGAACCCCTAAAAACCATTTTCAAGTTTATTTTCCTTTCCAATGTTATAACTTGCCAGATTTTCAAATTTTTCAATTTACAACTTTGTGCACTTCTGAATTCTTATAGCCTTTTATTTGCAAACTTCTACATTTTTAAATTTGCAACATTCCAAATTCCTAAATTTGCAAATCTGCAACTTTCCAAATTCCTAAATTTTATATTTGCAAGTTTGTACATTTTCAAAGTTCTAAATTTCCAAATTTACCAATCTTGAATCCCAAAGTTTCCAAATTTACCAATCTTGAATCCTCAAGTTTCATAATTTCTAAATCCCAAAGTTCCTGAGTGAAAATTTGCAAAATTTGTTAACTAAGTTTCTTAGGGAAGTCTACTATACTCGTGAGTATAAAACATTCGTGGACTTAGTATATCGCGTGTCGACACTTCATTGTGATCAATTAATCGATACTTCGATTTTAATTCAACACGCAGTATTAGTAACAGTAATCTTTCATTGGAATGATCAGTCCTCAGAAATAACTTAAGCTAATTCCCTCATAGTGACAGTAAAATATCCAATAATAAATAACAATCAAATTGTCAAAAATTAGTGCTTTGAAATTTTTAGTTTCTTAATGATAATCGGTAATTGAATATTCTTCTTTTTTAGAAGATTAAACTGTAGTTGTTAATCGAATATTAAACTTCAATTTTTAATTCAAACTTGTCAATGAATGAATTTTATAATTAATAATTAACTTTCGTTTGTTAATTGAAACTTCTAATTAAGAATAAAAATTTAATTTTTAATTCAATAATGTCTAACAATAAATTAGAATTGAATTTTTAATTGAATCTCATACAAGTAAAAATCAATTGGTAATTCTTGACTACGATTTCTCCGTAATATTAATTACAATTTTATATTTATAAAAAGTTTTAATTAACAGTTATACTGAGGTCTTTAGAGAACATTATCGTTGTTACTGTTATTTTTATAGTTATTTTGTACTCATCTTTTACTAACCCAGTTGTTCATACGTTCTCAGTATTATTAATTTGTAGAAGTTGCAATTAAGAGTTAAAATTACTGTTTACTTGTACGAGATTTAAGTAAGAAATAAATTTGTTGCTGACTACGCATGACTGAATTAAAAATTCTTAATTGGAGAAAGTATAAATGATCGATTGAAAATGAATTGTTAATTAAATGAACTATTAATAGCTTGCAATTTTTCATCTGATATTTTGAATTAAAAATTGGACAAGAGTTCTTTAATTATAAAATTATTCAATTAATAACTATAATTTCATTCCACTGTAATTTTAAATCAATTATTAATTAATATACGATAATATTAAAAATTTAGTTATTTAACAAATTATTGGTCATTAATAAAGTTCTAGTTAATAGTTTACAAATATAGTGTTATACAAATTTAATCAAGAATTAAATATAATTCAAGTTCAAATAAATAAAAATTTTAATTAATAATTTGGAATATAAATTTAATTTTATATTCAATTCTTTAATTTTATACTTGCACTTTAAATATAATACTTCACATTATAAAATCCTTCTCTTAAATTCGTGCAACCAATTTTAGTTTAAATACTATTGTACGTTTTGTAAGTCCGAGGAAATAATTGACTAAAAATTCAAGTATTAAAAATGGCCATTAGCAATTTTAATGCGTGGTCCTAAAAAATTGTGTTTCTTTCCAAAATGATGGGTCAAAATACAAATAAAATTATTATAATATCAATAGAGGGTAGTATAAATTATCTCTACCCTACACTAAATGTTAATTAATTTTAAGAACACGATAAATGTTGTTGCTTTTTGTTCACAGAAAAATGAAGTTAGTGATAGCATTGGCAGTGCTGTGCTGCCTGGCGATCGGCACTTTTGCATTACCAACAGCTAAAATTTCCCAAGAGAAAAGTTTGAATAAAAACGTGGTAGCAGCAGGAAGACAAACAGCCGCAGCACCTGCAGTCAGTGAGGACGATGATGATGACGACGATGATGACGATGACGACGTTGATTTTGATATCACGGGAGATGATGATGACGACGATGATGAGGATGATGAAGACGATGATGACGACTCCGATTATCTGGAACGTTTCATCGAGGATATATTAGGTAAAATATCGTTCTTTTTGTAGCATGTTGACTGCTGTGTCACTTATATCTCACTGACACTTGAATTTCTATAGAAATCCATCACTCATATTATTTAGAATTCTTTCAATTAAATTTAAGCGATTTTTAGATTTACAAATTTTCAAAATTGCAAATTTAAGAATTTAAAAATTTTGGAATTAATTAACTGTTCATATTAAGTACACGGAGTTATAAATAATAAAATTACAAGTATATACAATTTATTTAAAATAAAATAGCAGTCAGTATGTTAAATAAATTAAAAATTAATCCTTACTTATTACTAATAATTAACCTTCGACGGTGATTGGGTCAATGGCGACCCGGACTTACAAAACGGTACAATGGTCCACTGATTCAAATTAACCTAAAAAAAATACGAAGTGTTAGTTCCAACTTTCTTCGGACTTCTAAATTTAGATGTTTTAGAATCGTTATCATTGTTACTCATTTTCATAAAAAATGGTGTCAAGTACTACAAAACAATGATAATACATTTAAGATAAAATATTTGACTTTGTTAAAAATAAGCACTGAATTAGACAAAGATTTAAATCATTATTTAATAAATACCTTTTAGATCCATTATAATGATAGCATAGGTTATTTTAAATACAATATAATTTTATGCATTCTGAACAATTTCAAACAGTTCTTAGCATCTCATTCTGCAACATTTCAAGAGTATTTAAATCCAGTGATAAATATAACATTGTTTCAATAAAGAATGTTCCTATTAACATGCTCGCTATAACGGTTTCAAAATTCGAAAGAGTTCTGACACCTTTGCTCTCATTCGATATTATTATCGAAGGAGCGTTCGATGAATCGAACAGTGGCGACAATACGCAAACGTTAGCCGTTACGCAAACATTGAAACTTCCGGTTAGCGAACACAGAAAGGCTGATGCGTAACGGTACAAAATATTTCAAACTCGCTCGAATTAACATAAATCGACGGCGATCTCGGTTCGGAAAGAATTTCTACGCGCTACTTGTTTTACGCTGACCCACATTCTCGAAAATGAATTATAACTGCAAGCAGTCTTCGCTGTATCATCTCGTTTATTAACTGAAATCGTCATCACCATATTTCATCTGTCTTTTTACTCGAGTTAGCCATTCATTCAGTGTCATCAATTCTGATTACTTCGAAGGAGTAGGTAGTCTTCAACTTGTTAATTCTCTAAAATCCATTAAGAAAATGAAAACATTGGAAATTGTTTCGAGTTAATAAAATCAAGATACTTTTGATTGACTAGTTTGCATTGTATACCACTTGGTCTGCCCATCGCCGGTGTGTACTACTACATTTCTCGTAACATGTGTTTATCTACTGCTTCTCATGTTACGTTCATGCGGAACAAAAATATGTATGTAAATAAAGAAAGAAAGCGGGAGAGAAGCGATGAGGTAAGAGAATATACTAAATAAAAGACCGTTGGGTCTATTTACATGTACGCTCAGTGTCATGACCATTGCAACTGCGCATGCGCGTTGCCTTGGTTACCACGAGTGTCATGACCAATCAACATGCGTAGAATGAACGAAAACTCGTCTTCCGATAAATACACTCTCTCGTAACGAGAACTACTTGCATATTATTATAATTTATAAACGTTGCATACATTTTCATATTACATGATGCATTGCAGAGTCAATTTGAATGATTAACATACGTGCTACTATTGTAAATGATGCTAATGTGTACTGATGAACTGCATTTGAGGATTATGAAATTTATTGGTTGAAAGATTGTGGATTTAAGTGTTTGGAGTTTTGGAAAGTTGGTGACCTGAGGATCTGAGGTGTTAGGAACTTGGTAATTAGAAGACTAATAGATTCAGAGGTTTAGAGATTCAGGACCTTGAAGATTTAGGAATTTACTTTAATATCAGAATGAATTTCAGATGAACCAGGGTCACGTTGTTCCTTATCTACTAGTCTACCTTTTACCATATTGCCAATTTCTGTTCATGCACATAACGATACTGACTACGCTGAAATATCATCAATCATGTGTCCGATTTAAGTCTAACATCCACATCATTTTCATTGTGAACCTCGATATACATTTCTGTCACAAAAGGTGTCTAGAAACCTACAATCTGTCAAAAGCGGAAGTTGCACTTTGCAAACAGAGCGTTTCAACATAAACGAGAAGTGATCCGACAGGAGTACAATATACCATGCAGTTCTTAACATGTCCGCTAAAATGATTGCAGGTGAGGAGGACGACGATGACGACGACGAAGAACCAACCGCCGTGGAACCCGTTGCCCCTGCCCAGCCAATTGCCCCGGCAATTCCCGCGGCCGTGGAGGCAGATCTAAACGCAGC